TGTCTCCAAAAGTGCCGGGAGCGCTATCAAAGATTCGAAATGGCGTCCAGTTCTAAGTCTGCTTTTATTAGTGATGCTGATATTGCTAAATATGTCAATGTAGTAAAGGTTTCCTTAAGTTTTTGAATATGTAACTTCATTTACTTGCGATTCATAATTTTTTTCCTAAACTGCTGTAAAATCAGAAAAAATGCCTTGACAATTTTAGCAATCCTAGTTCCTAGGATATTGGTTGGCACTCAAAGGGTTAAACTGCATCTTTTAGAGCAAAGGAAGACACTGTAGACCAGTATTTGTCTTCTTGAAAATGAGTGAAACAAGCAAAATGAGCTATTGGAAGAATTACTGTTCCATGGACAGCTTTGCTGGTCTAAAGAGTAATTGTGAGAATAGCCAGGCATGGATTTACCTGGTCCATCTAAGAAGTGATTTTTCTATATTTGCTTTTATAGCAGAGGAGGGAAATGTTGGGTGATCTCTCGACATGGAATCACATGTACCCTAATTGCATATCCACATGGTTATTCTTGTTTATATTAAATGTCAGATCAAAACATTGATTAGAACTGATAGGGTGCCCATCAACAATTAATACTGTCTATTGGGATTTTTGAAGTTCATTTATTTTTCTATTATCGTTCTATACAATGAATTTAAAAACTTAATAGTTCTTTCTTGCTTTCAGGAGAGGCTGCTGCAGGCAAAGAAAGAAATTGAGAAGCACTGTATTAATGACAAACAGGTAAAGCCACTGTCTGCCTGATGCCTTTCCTGTACGAATCAGCACAGGTGCATAAAGGGAAAAAAGGGATTCTTCAGTTCTTAATAGTTTACTGGAAAATGTGAGAGTTTTCTAATTAAAATACATACTAGACTGTTGTGAAAAAGGTGAAACTGCTTGAATTGTCTGGAATTCCTGATTATGACAAAAATATATAGACTCTAACACATACACACACTCACAAACCATCAAAATAACAAAATGCTTTGCTGGAAAATGATTTTATTTCAATTATTTGTTTAAATCAACTTGATACCAACACTTAAGGGGAAGGGGGCATTTAAAAATATTTTTGGGTTATCGAATTGTTTGATAGATAAAATGTATATACATATACATATACATATACATATATATACATATATATATATATATATATATTAGTTGTATAACTTTTATTACCATTTAAAAAAAATGTCACTTCTCTGTGGTATAGGTTTTATTTACTAGTATAGTAAATGATCCAATCCTGCATAAAAAAGCATGTTTAAAAATTAATTTCATGATTCCTACTCCCTTTTTAAACAATTGTTTTCTGTGTGATGGTACAGGGATAAAGTCCAGGGCAATTCCTTGAGTCTGGAATATGCCAGGGCACATTTTCTAAGGGATGTTTCCTTTCCTTAGAATTTATATCATTTGGATGGGGTTCCTTGCATTAAGTAAAACTTTCTGCCCAAAAACCCTACAGTCATTGGTCTCTTTTTATTCATCTCTTTGACCTCCCATGTCACAGCTTCATTTCTCACACTTGGTTTCTTGGAGCTGGGAGGGATCTTGGTCATCGCGTGTCTGACACCCTTATTGCACAGGTGAGGTCACTGCAGCCTTCCCAGGTTCTGCTCGGAAGTTGATAAAGGGACAGGATTGGAACTCAGCCTTCCCCAGTGCATGCACGTTCTTTCTACTGCCTCGTCCCCACACTACTCGTGGGTACATATCATTGATGTACTTACATGCCCACCCACATACATACTCTGTCTGCACCTCAGCATGATGGCCAGTGTCAACACGGGAGAATTCATGGAAAGACTGAGAAACCAAGGACACCTTCCTACTTCTCTCTGCTACCTCCCTGGGAACATAGAAGTTCCTATGTCAGTGACCTAAGCTCTGCTTTGGAAACATTACCCACAAAGGAAAATTAAACAAAAGCTCATTGTTTGTCCCTATTAGTGTTCTTCATTTCTGTCTCATAAATTTCTATTAAAGTAAGCACGGAATATATGCTTTCTCCCCCTTTTCTCCCTCACTCTGTTCCTTTTCAAAGACTAAATGGACTTGTTTTCCAAAGTAAAGCACAGGCTGAGGCTTCCCATCATCCCCCTGGGCTGCGCAGCCCCAGGCCTGGCTGTTTATACCTGGTGGGCCCGGGGCTGGGCTCAGTGGCCCCCTTGCTGAGAGAATCAGTTGAGTGGCCAGTCATCCCAGAGGCAGGGATCTCAAGCAAATCTCAGAAGGAACCAGATGTGACCTGGCTCCCTGCTCAGCTCCTGCAGGCCCAGACTGACCCTTGGTCTCCACGATAATGTCCTGTGGCTCGGCCTCTGAGCAGCAGCCCAGGCTGAGGTGGCTTCTGCTGGTAGATACTGTTTACTTATCTCTGTCTTCCACCGGCTGGTATTCAATCCCACCAGGGCAGTCACAGCTCTGATACTGCTCCAAGGGAAGCCATTCTTTACACCTATTTGTTAGATTTATTGTTATTCTTTTTAGCAACTTAAGAGATTAACAACTTGAGATGTGATTTATGTATTCTTTAATGTATGTAGTCTTTTTAATAACAACTTGAGGTAGAATTTATGTGCAATAAACCACACCCATTTAAAGGTGTACACACATGTGAAACCACCACTGAGATGCAGAGACAGAACATTTCCAGCACCCCCCAGAGTTGGCCCTCGCCCCTGCCTCCCCTCCTGACTGCAGGTGGTCAATGACCTGTTTCTGTTATTGTAGATGAGTAGTGGCATTTCAAGAGGAACATTTTTTTTCTATTTCCAGCCACAATGAGGTATAATGGACAAATAAAAATTGTATGTATTTAAAGTGTACAACATGATGATTTAACATACGTTTACATTGTGAAATGATTACCACGATCAATTAACACATCCAGATTTCACATAGTTATTTTGTGTGTGTGGTGAGAACATGTAAGATCTATTTTTTTAGCAAATGTCAAGTATACAGTAGGTCAGTATTAATGACAGCCTTTACGTTCTACGTTAGACCCACAGAACTTACTCATTTTATAGCTGAAAGTTTTTACCCTTTGACCAACATTTGCATTTGTTTAAAACAGTTGTCTACAAAAACTGCTAAGAAAATTAGACTCTGCTAATTGCATTGTCAACAGATTTTGAGTTTGCTCGAAACAATTTTCTATAAAAACTGCCAAGAAAATTAGACTCTTCTAATTGCATTTCCAACAGATTTCAAACAGTGCAATTGGTACATCCAAAATTGGACTCCTTATCTTGTGGAAAGAATTGCCTTTAATTAAAAAAAAACAAAACTAAAAAACCGCCTCCAAAACTTTTAAAAATAGTTTCAGATACCTGCATAGCTTTAGTCATTCCTTTCTCTTTCTAACAGGTGGTGCTTTGTATATCAGTTGACGTATCCCAAGACTACAGCCAAGTGGAGAATGTCATAAAACAAGTAAGAGGCTGAGCTAATTGGAATTAATTCATATGCCTTTTGTTTGGTTCTTAACATTTTGCTGGGTGGTTTGGAATTGGTAAACCTTCCTAAGAGGTCTAATAGTTTTATAAATTTTACTTATTGGCATTGAGTGACTCTTCTTTTGTCTTCCTTAATGTCTTCTCTGATGCATTTTTCCAGGCACAGGAGAAACTGGGCCCAGTGGACATGCTTGTAAACTGTGCAGGAATGTCAATTTCAGGAAAATTTGAAGATCTTGAAGTTAGTACTTTTGAAGTAAGCAAAAATTTGTTTTTTGATCATGGAGATAGCCCATACACTAAAAGCAGAGCAAGGCCGCCCTGGCTAGCTTGGCTCACTGGATAGAGCGTCGACCTGGGGACTGAAGGGTCCTAGGTTCAATTCTAGTCAAGGGCATGTACCTCGGTTGCTGGCACATCCCCAGTGGGATTGATGCTTCTCTCTCATCGATATTTCTAGCTCTCTATCCCTCTCCCTTCCTCGCTGTGAAAAATCAATAAAATATATATATTTAAAGAAGAGTAAGGCTTTACAAATGAAATAGATGAAGTGTGTTCAGATTTCCTGGAAGCCTTGGGAGACTAGAGGGAGGCAACACAAGCTTTTGGTCCCAGTGCCACGACTGTCTAGCCTTAAGGATTCAGACAAGTCTCTCAACCTCGGTTTCCCCAGTTATAAAACAGGAATGGACCCTCCATTCCAACACATCACTGTGATGTATCCCTGAGGTGATAGAGAACCCCTTATAAACCGGGAGATTCTGGATTTTCATGTCAAGTGTTTGTATTTTTAACATAAAAAACAAAGAGTTGAGGAGCAAACTCTTTAAGAGTTTTCAAATCAGAATAAAGAGATAATGTGTCATATTTATGATTGCATTTTTAAAACGGGTTTGACATGCAGCCTCTCCTTGTCATTTATTTCAGCCCTAAAGAAATGGACATCAGATCTCAAATCTTTAAGTGGGAAACAGTTTTTTAGTTGACATTGCATCTGCCATCTTTTCTTAGTGTTCTGTCTAACTTCATCAAAGTCATGGGTTTTGAATGCCTTTGTCTGTGAAGTGAAATTGCATCTGCTGTAGGAAAGGAGACTGTTGGAGCAGCAGTTTAGATATCTTGCTCCCAGGGGACTGTGGGAAAGCACCATGCACTCTGATTTAAAGTCAAGTTGGGAGAGTCCAGATATAATATTTGCAGACTGGTGCCTTACCCGGGGCTGGACAGTCTTAAGGCTCTTTTATCAACTAGGTAATGATAGTTGACCATTATACCTTTATCTGTGGGTAATCAAAGGGGGGTTTTAAAGATTATTTCAATAGCAGTGTGAAGAGTCAATTGGGGGAAATAATTGTAACAGTGATCTTGGCATGAAATGATGAGGGAGTTCAGAGGTGGCCAGCACAAGAGGAATAGGGTGTGTGTGTGTGTGTGTGTAAGATGATATGGAGTGACAGTTAGTGGACTCCGCCTTGACAGTGTAGAGGGTACAGAGGACTGAGGTAGAATGGGTTGCAGGGTTATAATGAATGAAGGCACTGTTGTAAAGCTGGGACCTCAGGAAGCGGGTGTGCCTGCTTGGGGACAGAGGGAGTCAGGATGGTTTACGTTTGTGTGTCTGATGGAAGAAGGAAGATAACTGAGTGAATATATTGTGGGGTATGTAACTGTGAGCAAGAGTAAAAGAAACTATGTACACTACCAGGGCAATGCCGGTATTGGGTATCCATGGTAAGCAGACAACGTGAAGCAGGTGAGATGAAGAGAGAAGAAAAATAACAATGCCGTAATATGAAGCTTGTGAAACATAAAAAAATGTACAATCCTAATCTTTTTAAAAAATTCACTTTGCTCTCAACCTCAGTCTCCCATTCATACTGTTCTCCCTTCCTTCCTTCCTTCCTTCCTTCTTTCCTTCCTTCCTTCCTTCCTTCCTTCCTTCCTTCCTTCCTTCCTTCCTTCCTCCTCTCACCCCTCTCTTTTGTTTAAAAAACAACCCAATCACAATTTGTTGCTTTGCCACACCTGCAGCATCTTTCCACGCTGGCAGCCACCGCATGACTTTGTTGCTCTTTGTTCCGCAGCAGGCGCAGCAGGCACAGCAGAGAGAAAGGTGGACTTTGGCATCAGGCTGAACCAGTCTGAGGTATTGGGTCTGATGGTTTCTAGTCTGACCATTTGCCAGCTGTGCGATCACAGGCAGATCAGTCTTTCTCTTCCAGTCACAGCTCCCATCTCCATGAAGTGGGTGGACAGCTCCCAGAGCTGTGAGGACTGAGTAACCTAATCTGTGCGTGGCGCTTAGCCCATGGTGGCTGCTTACAAATACTAATGTCCTTTCCCAGGTATTCATTCATTCAACCCACAAATACTTGAGAGAAAGCCTCTCGTGCACCCAGCATTTTTCTGGGTCCTGGGGATGCGTGCTGAGCAAGAAGATAAAGTCTGGGTGAGGTAGCAAGACCCCACAGGAGCAAGCAGATAGCAGTGTGATTTCAGACTGGGGTATGTGCTGTGGGGAAAGGAGCGGGCTGAGGGGCTCTGTGAGGTGGTGTGGATGGAGACCCAGCCTGGGGGCAGGGGTTGGAGACCTGGGGAACGGGGACAGAGGGACCAGGAAAGAGCCAGTTACTGCCAGGGCCCCAGGTGGTAGGAGTTTGGCAAACCCAAGGATGGACTGGCAGGCCTGTGTGGCTGGAGCATCCCCAGAGATGGGCAGAGTGGGGCATGGGCCAGGTCTGTTGGGGCCTTGAAGGTTTTAATCTCAGATGTCTCAAGAGTTTTAAGTTAGGCTAAGCAGTGGTGGGATCTGCATTTTTAAAGGATCCCCCACTGTACAGGGCAACTTTTAGGAGCTTTTGGGGTCACTAAGTGCAGAAATAGTGATGTTGGGAAGTGGATGGAGGTAGAGTACTGGGCAACCACCGAGTGTGGGCTAGCAGGAAGCGGCAACAATTCAGCACAAAGATTCAAGCAGCTGTTAGGGGATGTTGGATGTGAGAACTGGCCTTCTAAAAAGGAAGGACTGTCAACCCAAAACCTGGGGCCTGAATGGAGGCAGCAGGGGACTGTCACCTTCCAAGGCTACTCTGCCCCTCCCATCGGGGCTCAGTGACTTGCCTTCTTCTGATCAGAGTAGGGGCTTAACATCAATGAGCCTGGTGAGAACACACACCACCACTTTTGATGCATTTTCTGAAGCTAAGAGTTCATTTTTATTCAAAATAAATTCTATAGCAGTTACTTCTTTTGTTTGGCTTCTTGTTAGTTTAATTTTACTGATAGTCACACGCACATATGATCCCTGTGCACACTACTGCATGTGTCGTCACAACTCATTGCCAGGGAGAGTGTGCACGCCCTTTAAGATTGCAGGCAGCAACTGCCTGGAGACCTGCCCCTGGTGTCCTCTGAACTCTGCCCGGGTGCCTTTTGCCCTTGCTGATTTTGCGTTGTGCCTGTCACTGTAATAAATCTTAGTTACGAGCACAACTCTGTGCAGAGTCACGCGAGGTCTTCCCGTGATTCACAAAACTGGAGGTGGACTTGGGAACCTCCAGCTTACTGCTCTTCATTTTCCTTTTTAATGCCTCTCTTTGTGGCTTTTGGAGCTGTGTCTTGTTTTCTCTACCTGTGGGTATTAATGAGAGTTATTTTACAGTTCTGATCAGGATTACATTGACCCCATAGATCCACTTGGGGAGAATTGACATCTTAATAATATTGTCTTTAACCCATGGACATGGTCTATATCTCCACTTAGGTTTTCTTTAATTTCTTTCAGCAAGGTTTGTAGTTTTCAGTGTTTGGGTCTTACACATCACTTTTCAGTATTTCATATTTTTTGATGTAGTATAAATAGTACTTTTTAAAATTTCAGTTTCTGGGTGTTCATTGCTAATGTAGAAAAAGACAGTTGATTTTTTTGGATATTGATCTTACAATCTTGCTGAACTCAGGAATTCTAGTACTCATTGATTTTCTACATCAAAGATCATATCATCTGCAACAGTTTTACTTCTAACATTGCCTTCTGGACACCCTTATTGCACTGGTTGGAACTTGTAGCACAGTGGTGAGCGCAGACATTCTTGACTTCAGTCTTAGGAGAAGACATTCAGTCTTGACCATTTAAGTATGATGTTAGCTGTAGTTTTGTTTTTGTGTTTTTGGTAGATGCCCTTTACCAAGTTGAGGACATTTTCTTCTATTCCTAGTTTGTCAAGAGTGTTTTTGTTTGTTTGTTTGTTTTAATTCTTTATTAGTTAAGGTATTACAAATGTGTCCTTATCCCTCCCATTAACCCCCTCCCCCCCCACCCCATCATAGTTTTTATAAGGACTGGATGTTGAATGCTTTTTCTGGATCTATTGGGATGATCATAGAGTTCTTCTTTTTCATTTTGTTAATATGGTGAACACAACCGAGGCATGTGCCCTGACTGAGAATCAAACCGCGACCTCCTGGTTCATAGGGGGATAAATCCCTCTTGGTTATGATGTCTTATCATTTTCTAAGTTCTTGAATATTTTTCTTGTAATGTTATTTTCTAGTTTTGGAATAAGGGTAATGTTGGCCTTTGAGTAGGGAGTGTTTTCTTCAGTTTTCTGGAAGAATTTGTATAAAGTTGATATCATTCTTCCTTAAGTGTTTGTGAACCAGTGAATGCTGAAGTTTTCTTGTGGGAAGGTTTATTACTTTTATATATATAATTATATATGTAGTTATATATAGTTATATATATAGTTATATATAGTTATATATGTATATTCTTTTTGAGTGGCTTTGTCCCTTTCATCTGTGTTGTTGAATTTATTGAGACAGTTATTCATCATATTCCATTATTATCTTTTTAATATCCATAGAGTTTATAGTAAGTTACCTCTCTCGTTCTTGATAGTAATCATTTGTGTCCTCTCTTTTTCCTGACCAGGATGACTAGAAATTTATCCATTTTATTGATTTTTCTTAATAACCAGCTTTTGGTTTTATTGATTTTTTAAAAATTGTTTTTCTGTTTTCTATATCACTTACCTCCTCCATTATTTTTATTATTTCCTTTTGTTTTAATTTGGTCTTTTTATAGTTTCCTTAGGTAGAAGCTGAGGTCTAACCAAGGAGCAAAGAAACTAAAATGCAGAATTGTACCACAGAACCCCCAAAAGATTCAAGGCTCAAAGTGTATTTGAGGCCTTTTCCCTTTTCTGATACAGATTTTAAGTACTGTGCATTTCCACCCAGGTCCTGTTTAGCAGCATCACACCAATGTTTTTTTTTATTATTATTCTCTGTTAATCCTCACCCGAGGATTTTTTTTCCATTGATTTTCAGACAAAGTGGAAGAGAGGGGAAGGGAGAGAGAGAAACATTGATGTGAGAGAGACATATCAATTGGTTGCCTCCCACATGCACCCAACTGGGCCGGCGATCAAGCCGCAACTCAGGTACATGCCCGTGATCGGAATTGAACCTGGGACCCTTCAGTCCATGGGCTGATGGTCTATCCACTGAGCCAAATTGGTGAGGGCTGCATCCCACCAATTTTGATCGTGTGTATTTTCACTCTCATTCAGTTTAAAATATTTTATACTTTCCCTTTCATTTCTGCCTTGCCCCTTGGGTTATTTAGAAGTGCGTTATTTAGTTTCCAAACATTTGAGTGTTTTTCAGAAATCTGTCTCTTCTTGATTTCCTATTTAATTCCATTGTGGTCAACAAACACACTTTGTATGACTTGACTCTTTTCACATTTATTGAGACTTGTCTCATGCCCAGAATATAGTCTATCCTATAGCCATTCTGTGTGCACTTGAAAAGAATGTGTTTTCTGCTATTTTGGGTGGAATGTTTTACTGATGTCGATTAGGTCCAGTTGGCTGATAACATTGTTCAAATCTGTATCCTTACTGATTTTTGTGTTTACTTGTTCTATTGAAAAAGGGGTGTTGAAATCTCTGATTATAATTGTGAATATGCCTATCTGGCTGTTTCTTTTTAAGCAGACTCTTAGTTGATACTCCTGTTTTTCAGTCCCATGCCCGCCCTTCCTGCTCCCAGAGATACTTGAGCCTTTGGGGGGTTCTGTGTTACAATTCTGCTTTTTAGTTTCTTTGCTTTCTGCTCAGCTAGTTATCACTTGTCCTTCTGTTCTTTAACTTCCAAACTATTATTGTTATTATTTTCTTTGCTCTTGTGGGTTCTTGCCTTTAAAAAAAATATTTTTTTTACTGAAATTTTAGTGGGGTCTTTGAAGGGAGCTGAGGCTAACACCTGGATTCTGGATTCAGTGTGCCATCTATTTTCAAATACTGTTTCATAGAATATTTATTATTAAAACAATATAATGATATAAAAAGGCATTTGGGGGAAATGGAAATCTGAGCATCCTAACACAATCCATATAATTTTCTGTATTTCCTTATTTGTTTGCTTTTAATTTATCTTTATTGTTGAAAGTATTATAGATGTTCCTTTTCCCCCCAAAGGCTCCCCTCCCCCTCATTGCCGCCCCCTCTCCCCCCAGCCTTCACCACACTATTGTCTGTGGGTTAGACATATATGCATGTAAGTTCTTTGGTGTATTTCCTCGGTTTTATATCTGTGCACATGTGCTTGTATTTACTATTTGAGATAGTTATAGTCAGTGTAAATGCAGTCTGCCCTTGGCTTTTTCTAAACTTACAGAATAAATATTCTCCCTCCTGGTGTTTCTGGTCATTATTTCTAAAAGTTATCTAACATTCTATTGAGTTATTTCATGATTGACTCGAAGTTCCCCCAGTGAAGTGTTTGGTTTTATATGGTGATAGATCTAATATTTGTACAAGACTTTTTACATAAAAACATTTTAATGTAAGTAGTCTTAGATTTTCAAGTTAAATGTAAGGTTTTTTAGAGTACACAGGATGAGAGGAAATATACTGTTGATACTTATGTAAGATCTTACCCATCACCAATAAGAGCCAACATTTACTGGGGAGTTATTGTGGATCAAGGCTGTGCTAGCACCCAACTTACGTTTCCTCTTGTAATCCTGCAAGCACTATGATATAATACTATTTTTAACTTAGCTTTTAGCTGCAGAAATAAGCATAGCGTTTGACTTTCTTACTTATCATCAAGTAGGTAGTAAATGGGAAAGCCCAGTCTTCAAACCATAATCCATGCTGTTAACCACTGTCCTAGGCTCTTTGTGATCTTTCTTTAGCTTGGAACTAACGGGCTCGACATATTTGGAAGCTTACTCCTAAAACTGTTTTTCAAAAAATATTACCTGCAAGGAGAAAACTAGTTTTAACCCATTTTCAGCAACGTCGTAACTGTGGTCGTGGTGAGAATGCAAGACCAGGTTGAAACAAACCTCAAATAGTAGATCCTGAGCATCATGGTTCATCGACAGGGTCATTTAATCATTCGTTCATTCATCAAATCCACCGAGTTCCCAGTCAGTTGGGCTCCATTGAAGAACTGCAATCTGGGGGGCAGATTGAATCCCCAGGAGTGCAGTCTTGTGTCTTTGACCTTTCTCATTCCTCATGGCTGCTTTGCTCCCTGCAGAAACTGATGAGCATTAACTACCTGGGCAGCGTGTACCCCAGCCGAGCTGTGATCACCACCATGAAGGAGCGCCGGGTGGGCAGGATCGTCTTTTTGGCGTCCCAGGCGGGACAGGTGGGACTCTTCGGTTTCACCGCCTACTCTTCGTCCAAGTTCGCCATCAAGGGTTTGGCTGAAGCTCTGCAGATGGAGGTAAATGCTGTATTCGGTTTTATATTTATTTCTTGCAGCTCAGCAAGTGCTCTCCTTGTTTGTAGCTTCTTTACACATGTTGTTATATATGGAATTACAATTTGTAGATTTGACATTAGTGAAAGAGAATTGGCTCAATGCCTGAATTTTACTGTTAAATAGTTAACATTTTCGTTGCATAAAATGATTGTAGTTGTGGTGAGAAAAATGGTCGTGAGGTATTTGCTTGCTTAATTTAATACACAAAATACTCCTAATGTCTTCATTGTATTATTGGTCTAATACTGTATGAGTATGTGTAACAGGGTTCACCAAATATTTTAGTCTCTAGAGATGTTTCTGTGACAAAAAGATCTGTTCTTTGTAACTGGATAATAAAATCAGCATGTGTTTGAGGGGAGAGCCAAGCTGGCCAGCTCTCAGCTTTTAGATAAATCATTTCACATGCTCTCAGTTTACTTATCTACAAAATGAGAAGGTTGGACTGAAAAAAAAAATCACTTGGCTCTCCTAGTACTTATATTTTAATTTCTTAAAGAGCTATTGATGAAAATGATTGCTTTTCATTTTCACAGTTTATGGCACATTTTGTGGAATGAGGTGAATTCAGGGTTAGTATCAGAGTAAGTGCTTATCATGAGTGACAGATTCACACCGTAGCCATGTGAAGTAGACTTCTGCATTCCTGTCACCTGGGAATGCTTAGAAACCCGCACACATGTCTATCTAAGTCACATACTGAAAAAGGCAAGGTAAAATTTCACTATTGCCATATATGCAGAAATATAACACATCATAATGTTAAAACCCAGAAGAGAATTCATTGTGGCCAACCCTCTCCTAGTAACAGTGTGATTTGAGAATCCCGTTTAATGACTTAGATCAAGGTAAGGAAAGTTTTTTTTGTAATGGGCCGGACAGTAATATTCTAGCTTTCGAGAATTAGGCAGTATCTGTCAAAACTACTCAAGTCTCCTGTGATAGCAGGAAAGCAGCCATATGCAATGCGTAAATGAATGGGTGTGGCTGTGTTTCAATAAAACTTTATTTTTAAAACTAGGTGAAGGGCCAGATTTGATCATTAGACCAAGCTTGCTGATCCCCGATTTAGAAAATTCTTACAAGAGCCCTTGATGGCATGTGACAGAGAGCCACACTGCCTAGATATTGGATGAGCATTATGGTAGATGACTTGTCCGGTCAGTGACAATCCTGAGGTGCCACTTGGGGACCCATGGACTGTGCTGTTCTCCTCTCAAAGGAACCAGCCCCAAATTTCACTTTCAACTTGCTTAATACTCTTAATAGGGCCATACTGACCTATTTCTGATTAAGAGTATTAAGCAAGTTGCCCTAACTGGTTTGGCTCAATGGATAGAGCATCAGCCTATGGACTGAAGGGTCTGGGTTCAATTCCAGTCAATGGCATATGCTCGGGTTATGGGCTCAATCCCCAGCAGGGGTCGTGCAGGAGACAGCTGATCAATGATTTTCTCTCATCATTGATGTTTCTCTCTCCTTCTCCCTTCTTCTCCCAATAAAAATATCTTAAAAAAAGAAAAAGAAAAGAATAGGTCATTATGCCCTGGCTGGTTTGGCTCACTGGATAGAGTGCTGGCCCATGGACTGAAGGGTCAAAGGTTCAATTCCAGTCAAGGGTATATACCTCCGTTGCAGGCCTGGTCCCCAGTCAGTCGGGGCACATGCCAGAGGCAGCCAATCAATGTGTCTCTCTCACATTGATGTTTCTCTCTCTCCCTCCCTTCCATTCTCTCTGAAAAATCAATGGAAAAAATATCCTTGGGTGAGGATTAATGATAACAAAAAAAGAATAGGTCATTATAATATGATTAGCCAAGAGGACATATACGACTGTGAAATTTCAAACAAGAATACTGGCATTCCTTTTGCAATTTTTACTTTGAAAAGTCCCTTTGTGAATCACTATTTTACTGTTATGACAGTTTTGTGAAATATGTGAGGCAGATGATGTTACCTTATAGATCAGAAATCTGAGTTTCAAGAAGTTCATGGAGTTGCTCAAAGTCACATGTGACTTTGTACTGAAATAGTAACAAAGACCGTGCTTTGGGGTCCATGTTTGCCTCTGTCCTGCAGCGGAAGATGCGTCTATAATTCAGGTCAGAAGTGGCCTAACTCATCTGGCTGGTGGCCTCAGTCCTAGACAGGGATATTTTGGAAATAACAGATATGCTCATTAGGGCTTTTCATCCCTACTTGGTGTCTTGTGGAGCCGCCTTAGGTTTCACTAATTTAGGACAAAGTGTGTAATGTGGGCGGCCTGGTTTCACTCCCAGTAGAACAGAGATGTTCATGAAGAAGAGGGACAACATCAGTAGCAGGTGCAGAGTCCCTGCAGCCTCTTTGTGACAAGAGGGATTCACACGCTGCTAGTAGCTGGCCTCCACCTGCCAGTCGGCTTGACTTCTGTCCTTATTTGGACTCCATTAAAAATGTCCTCATGTAAACAGAGTCTAAAATGAAGTAAACCTGTACCATGAATAATAGGTTTTGGGGGAAATAAGTTCAATATTCCACATATAGAAGTTTATTCATAGTAGAACATGCCATAAAACAAATATTTCCCTGCAAACTTACAGTGTTGTGTTTTTGAAACCTGGATAATTGAATCTGTGTGGCCAAGGTGGTGGTGTTTTCTATGAATGAAACAGACCTTATAGAATTGCTCAAATGCAATACATACTTTGGATAATTCTTTTTAGTTTAACTCTTAAGTCTTCCTGTCTACTCCACCAAAACTAAAGTCAGGCCTTAGAAATATTTTATGTACAATGAGTAATTTTTGAAAGATTGCTTTGTTGCATTTGTTTATCTTTTTAAAAAATCAGTCTCAGGTACAAATACATCATTTAAAAATTTTTTAAAGTTAATTTTTTGGGAAAGCAGAGACCAAATAAAAGAAAACTAGGGATCCTCCTTTCCATCTCTTGTTCTGACCCTACTCAGTCCCTCTGACTCCACTCTTCCCACATTTTGAAACACTCTGTTTTAATTATTTGGGAGCATAGCCATGACCTTGAGTGTGAGAAACACTGCTTTGAAATGCTCTTACATTGGCTTATGTGCCACCGTTCTTATTGTTGGGGAGACGGGCAGCACAGAAGTGACCACATTTGAATCATAAGCATCAGCCTTTATAGGGGCTAATGACCATATATTGGCTTTTAAAATTTTTTTTTTTATTGAATTTATTGGGGTGACATTGGTTAATAAAATAATATAGGTTTCAAGTGTACAGTTTTACGACACATCATCTATATCGTTGTGTGCTCACTACCCAAAGTCAACTCTTCTTCCATCACCATATATTTGACCCCTTTTTCCCTTTGCTACCCCCCCCCCTTCTCTCTGGTAACCACCATCCTGTTGTCTGTGTCTATGCATTTTTGTTTGCTTGTTTGTTTGTCTTGCTTGTTGCTTTCAGTTTTATATCCCACATATGTGTTCTCTGGTCTGTGCACAACAGAGGGTAAGGCCATGGGAGACAGTTTTTCAAGTCACTCTCTTAAAAACAAGTGGAAGAGAACTTGCTTGCTCATCAACCTCATCACCTGGCCCAAGTCCAGAGCTCCTTATGAGGTAGCTTGGCCTCGAAGCTACATGCCCTGCCTGCGCGGAGTGAAGGAGCTCTCAGGCCCTAGGTGCACCGGAGCCCAAACAACAGAGATGTCACCTCTGCGATTGCACTTTCCAGGGTGGCTGGCCAGGACCCTCTGTCTGCAGGTTTCTCTGGGCCCTTACAGCTCCTCCCACAGACTTCAGAACTGTGCTCCCAACGGGATCTGGGGAGAAAAGGGCTCTATGAAAAGAAGGACCCTGGGGTGCTCTCGGAGGCTGTTGCATTAGGCAGCCCTGTTGTGTTTATTCAGCAGCCTTAAGACACACAGTGGCCGACCTTACTACCAGCTGCCTGCCCACTTCCAACTCATGGGGACCAAACACTGAGCCAGTAGCCAACAAGTCATGGCAGAGATTTTGATTGTGAACCATCACCCTTAGAGTCATTAAGAATTAGGTGGAGCAGGGCTTTGGGAAGGGTGTATCCCACCTGACCAGCAGGAGAACTTTCTGGAATTCTTGGGGGGATGTTAATGAGTGGGGAAGTTTAAGTTTGGAGGTATGTTGATGAGGTCAGCAAGCCTAAGAGTGTGTTCATCTACACCAGTGGTTCTCAACCTTCCTAATGCTGCGACCGTTTAATACAGTTCCTCATGTTGTGGTGACCCCCAATTTCATTGTTACAAATTGAACATAATTAAAGCATAGTGATTAATCACAAAAACAATATGTAATTATATATGTGTTTTCCGATGGTCTTAGGCGACCCCTGTGAAAAGGTCGCGATCCACAGGTTGAGAACCGCTGATCTACACCATCCAGGAGCAGGTGGAATTCCAGATCAGGGAGGGAGCTATGAAGAGAAGCCGGAAGGGTTTCTATGTGTAAATGAGGGATGAGGCTGTCTGAAGGGGAGGTGCTTGGCTGGGCTGATGGGGATGGAGGGGGTGCATGCAGTTCTAGACCTGCATCTGAGTATTGCTAGAGAAGGGATCTGAGTGACCTCAGTATATTTGGTTGATGAAATCAGCAAGAGTTTCAGAAGCAGCATGAAGGAAAACAGATTTGCAGTCTGATGGCGGAAGAGCAGACCGAGGCATGCGGAGGGCAGGGCATCCAAGGGGGTCTCCTTTTAGCTTTGTCTGTTTGTCACTGACAGCAGTGGGAGGGAAGAGAGGAAGAAGGAGGTGAATGGCCATACCTTGGGATCAGCTGTGTTCTGGAGTGGATGTTAGGATGTGCTTTTTGTCTTTATTTCTAAACATTTCCCGGCTCAGTGGGTAGTGGTCCTGCTCTTGCAGAACCAACTGTTAGTCTTGGCCACCTTTGAGAAAATCAGGGCAGTATTTATTTTGTATGCATGCCTAGCACCCAGTGCAGGCTGGCGAGGTGGGCGTGAAATTGTGTCTTGTTTATTGAAGAAACAATGGTTGTTTTTGAAATGCAGGTGAAGCCATATAATGTCTATGTAACCGTCGCCTACCCGCCTGACACAGACACACCTGGGTTTGCAGAAGAAAACAAAACAAAGGTAAGTATGCTAGTCTTTAACTCTGGAAAACCCTCTTCTGATTTGTTCTTTTCACATTTTAGCCCACATTTTTATCGGTCAGAAAATCGAGTTCCTTTCAATTTATGTGCTAGCTAGAGAGGCCTCTGAACTTTCTGGAACTTCCATTCCAAATCTTGGACAATGCAGCCATATTTTCAAAAGCCATGAGTTTTGCTAATAATCTTTGAAGCCTTATTGAATTAATAAGATATTTTCTGTATGAAGGAAAGGACAGCCTGTATTTTTAACTAATGAGATGATATTCTTTAAAACCATATTCTCTCCGTTGAACTTAAAGACCTGGTTGCTGATCCATTGTGTCCCTGTGGAGTTCTAATGGACATCTCATCGTAACATTTCCAAAACGGATCTTTTGATTCCCCCTTATTCCCCCTCATTATTTTCATTTCATTACCAGGCTCCCACCGCTCACCCGGCTGCTCAGGTGGAGATGAGATGCCAGCTTGATTCTCCCTCTTGGTTCCATGGTCAGAACATATCCAGAATCTGACCTGATTATTTTTCTTTTAACTGCACATGTCATTACCCTTCTAGCAGTGGCAGCCACTGATATTTTTGCCTGAACTACTTTACTAGCCTTCAAACTGGTCTGCCTGCTTCGGTTCATCTCTCTTGGGATCTGTTCTTCATGAATCGCTAGTGACCTTCTTAAAACTTAAGTTGGGTCTTGTCACTCCCCTGCTTAAAATTTCCTTGTGAAAAAAAAACAACAAAAAACACCACACAAAAAACAAAAGACCAAACACCTCTTGGGTAACACAGTCCGATAGAATGTTCTAGAATGACGGAAATGTTGTATGTTTCACTCTCTAATATGGTAGCCACGTTATGGCTCTTGAGCATCCAAAATGTGGCAAATGGGATTGAGAAATTGATTTTTAATTTTATTTAATTTTAGCTAATTCAAAGTTAACGTTAAACATTGCATGTTGGCAGTGGCTGTGTACTGGAGAGCGCGGCTCCGGTGGCTCCCACCATGCCTGGAACAGACTCCGAAGGCCTTGATGCTAATACAGGCCCGCAGTGTCTGGATCCGGCCACCTGGCTGCCACAGCATTTTCTCCTCCTCTTACGTTCAGTGCCGTGAGCTTGCCTGGCCTACCGTCACCTGCGGGCTTCGCTCTTGCTGTCCCTCTGCATGTTTGAATGGCCGACTCCCTTATTTCTTCCCTTCCCTGTACAGAGGTCACTTCCCTGCCCTCTGCGTCTCTGCCAGCATCCTCTGGCTTTGATATTCCTTTGTGGTGCTTGTCACCACTGGGCCTTGGCAGTGTATATAGGACTCTCGGTTTATATAGGATCGTATCCTGAGCTGAATACGATCTTCGCATTTTGTTCAAAGGGCTTCCTCTGTGCCTTGACACCTAGTAGTCACTGAGCAAATGAATAAAGTGGAGAAGAAAGGAATCAGTCAGAACTTATCGCCTTGAACTGGCCTGGCTTGTTTTTCTTCCCTTTTCTATTAATGCTTACTGTGAATTTGCACGGCATAAAAATGGGCACTTATGCTCCATAGACCATACATTTGCTAAAAGGTGTTTATGATTTAGAAGCTTTTTTTCATTTCTCTACGGCTCTGTCTCTTTTAAAGAATTTATTTCAAAGAAGTAAATGTAAGCCAAATGTCTGTTTTAGAATAAGCAGGGAGTCTGCTAAGCAGATTTGCAGCATTTGCTAAGCAGTCTCTTAGTGTGAAGCCAACGCTGACAGGTGATTTCCCTGTTTCCCTGTGAAGACTTTATTTTGATGTTAAGTTGATGTTTTTTTTCCCTCCTCTAAAATGTTGGGCCAACTTCTTGTGGAAAATCAAATCCTGGGATGGTCTGTGAGCCCTTTAGGGGGCGCCATAGTGCTTTCAAATCTAATGTGTATCCAGCCACATGTGGTTTTACCAGCCTGATGATCTGGAAGAATGAATGAGAATGATGACACCTTCAAAAGGGTCTTTCTCTTAATTCAGTGCTGGCCTTTTATGAAGTGCAGTGCCTTTCTATTTTAAGAATATATATTTTGGTTTTAATTTTAATTCTTTTAAGCCTGTATGATAAATAAATTTTACAGTTTCATGCATTTTAAGGCTTCAGTTTTGAAGCTTCTGAAATTCTCCTTAAAGAATTTTTGAGTGTGTGTGCCATAAAGAAGACCAAAAAAAAGGGGCGGGGGGGCGATCCCATCCACAAAGAACTTAGGAAGTAAATTGTAAAAACAGGTAGCTATAATATATATTAAGGCAGATATGTTCAAAGATGGGAAGAGAAATTATTGCCACTTAAGGGTTCAGGAAAGGCTTTTTGACCTCGGTGATAGTTGAGATGGACCTTTAACAAAAGGTTAAGATTTGGGGTTCTGATGCCCTTACCCAGTAACGAGCACACAATATTTTATCTTCCTTCTTGCCTCCTCTACAGGTCCTTTGAGAAACAGCTGTGGTGTCGGACAGAGCTACTGCTGTCTCTGCTAAGGACCTCTGCTCTGCCCAGGGCCAGCCCTCCAGTGGCCTGGGAGAACAGAAAGCAGGTCATAAGAGCGAACTCACTCAGGGCACCCAGTCTAGGCTCTGCACCAATACCACCGGTCAGCTGTCTGGCCAGCAGCGAGGATTCAAGGAGTGGGTGTTTCTGGTCTTGCACCAGTGATTTGTAAATCATTCTCATTCAAGCTTTGATGGTCTCCATTGAAGCAGAGACCCCCACATCCCACAGAGAATGTGGCCAGGGCTTCCTTGTCTGGGTTCAGCTACTGGCTCAATTTTACACAATGACCAGGTAGAAACTGACTTAGGATCCAGATGGACCTAATTCTCAAAATAGGAATCTACTCAAAGGTAGAAAATTGGAATTATTTTATAAACCAGGGGAGGTGGCTGTGTAAGAATGACTGATTTTTTAATTAATGGTATTGATGCGTCTATTTTTTTCACTTTAGCCTTTGGAAACCCGTCTTATTTCAGAGACCACGTCTATTTGCACACCAGAGCAAGTGGCCAAACAGATTGTTAAAGATGCCATAGTAAGTTGTCCTGGTTTTCTTTATTAATAGCTTCTGTGCTTCTGAAAAGGTATTTGTCCCAAGGCCTATTTCAGAACATAAACTATTGTGTCTTTTGGGTCAGTCAGATTCATCACATCTAATATGGGTCTCTGCTTTTCTCCCCTGACCCACATTATCGATTCCATGTTGATAAGTAGGCTTCTGGAAATGAATTATGTATCTTAACCTAAGGACAGACTGACCAGGATGGGTGTCTGGGAGTGCTGATGCTTTAACAAGTCTGCACATGGCATGCTGCCTTCTCTCTTCTTTCCCACAGGACTTTCAGTTCCAGATTATTTTAGGTATCTTACTGCCAGACTCTTGGGTTTTTCTTTCACCTTCCTGCTTCCCAGAATCCTTTCCCCAAATGTTCGCTAGTAAGAAAGTGCGGCCCGCCCCTGGGCCATCCCCGTTAACCCAGCGGATGTGCATTTGGGCTCCTGAGTTTATTTGAACTTAAAAAAAAGTCAAACCACAGGCTGATTTGTAGAACAGTGCATGTGCTGCAGGCTTTTGACAACGTTCCTGTGACCCCAGTGCCAAAAAACAGCCAATTATGAGGGATGTCTGTAAACCTGAGACCCACACTGAGTTTAGGAAATTTGGGGACCCCTGGAATGAGATGTGTCAGGACACCATGTCTGGGCCGACCTGAGCAGAATACGGGAAATCTCAAACTCTATTAAAACACCTGCAGACGTTGGGAGAACTTTGCCCTGCTGTGCTCAGAGGCATAGAAAGAGGGCACCGTGGACTCTGTTTTTCCTGCTTATCTTAAGTCAGAGCAAACACACTCCATGTTTTTAATGATCTCAAACACTCTTTGTATCTTGGCAGGATTCATTTCGGCTGGCAGTGTTCAATCTCCTTCACCCCTTAACCCCTTCACACTCTAACTGGTTGACAACTTCAGAGAATTTTGGTTTACATCGGTTATATTTGCCATATTAGAAGTGGAAACTGTAATTTTTAAAATATTTATTTAGTAATTCATTTAAAATAACCAGTAATAAACCCGTTACATTTTGATGTAACATCTTTACAACCATAATTATTTCTCAGAACAAACCTTTGGTGAGATGAGAGACTTTGTTTTATACCTCGGTAGTCTCTTCAATGTCTGTGTTCTGGAAGACAGCTGGGCTCTCAGAGCTGCTTCTACATTCAATCTGTTGTCATATGTGGTTTTGAATGAAGGATATAAAAATCTGGCCTTACACACATGTGTAGTTAGAAGTGGAGGGGTATTTTATAGGTTTTTAAGATCATGGTGGACATTCTTTTTTAGAATTAAATTTGAACTGGATGACGTTTCTTTAAAGGTTAGTTGCAGTGTGGAATTGGAAACTCGATTAATGAACTTTTTGTTCTCTGTTGCATTAAAACCCATTGGTCTCTGCACTTTGAATGCTTTGTACCCATTCATGATTTGGGAATGTCATGCATTAGTCATTTGGAAAATATGAGTTCCCTGAGTTATCCAAGAAATTACATCCGTTAATGTCGCTGCTGATCTTATAAAAGTTCACATACCGGGAAGCTGACAGTTTAATGGAAAGCTCAGATTTTAGCACTGGCCACAAAAACTACCCATATCATTAGTTTTCCACACAATATCTTCCAAAGACTGAGCTTGAGTAACCACAGGTGGTCTGATGATGGTTCTTTTGTGTAAAAATGGTATTCCATGAAAAAAGCAGCAAGTTTCACAACCTAAGCCCTACATTTCAGGGCAGTAGCCCCTCAGGTTTGGCACACAGCTGGGCACATACTTCCCTTTTTGTTACACAGAATATTAAGAAGACATTTCTTCAAGGGTTGAAATTTAATAAGACAGTTCATGTTCCTGCCTTATCAAGGCCATTTTGAAGCAAAACTGACATTTCAACATTTTACAAGATTTTTCAAAATTTCTATTTTCTTTTTGGATTTATTATGGCCAGTGTGTGTGGTGGTGGAGAGACACCACTATTAATATGGTTTCTACTAATGAGGCAGCATTTTGCAAATGTCACTGGAAAAGGCCATTAACACTCTGGTATTATTATGACAATCATTTTGTCCTCATGGACCCTCCCTGCCACCCCCGCCGCCTGCCATGGACACCCACGGCCCAGGGACTAACCCACATTTTGAGAACCTCCCATCTAGCCTTTCAGTCCCCCTGCTAAGACCACGTTCGTTTCTGAGCTGCAACGCATGGTTTGTTACCCTCTCATCCCACAGAAAGTAAACGGACACACTCTTGCCTGTACTGACATGTTGAGGTGATTAGTAACTCCTGTTGCCTCTTTCTTTTCTCTTCTTTCTGTTCAGCAAGGGAATTTTAACAGTTCCGTTGGCTCAGATGGGTACATGCTCTCGTCCCTGACCTGTGGAATGTCTCCAGTCACTTCTATTACCGAAGGGCTCCAGCAGGTAAGCTGTGCCTCGGCCAGCAGACAGATGGGCAGACAGAGAGACAGCACCTCTCATTAAACCTCAATGAATAAAGGCTAAATAAAGGAAGACTTGTCAACTTGATCTGAGCATGTGAAAAAATTTTCTTAAAGTATCAACCTTTTCCCTTCCTTTACCAGGGATAAGTCATTGGGAAATATGTTAAAGATTTAACTGGGAGAATTTAGACTGGGAAGAAGTCTTCTGTGCTGGGCACTGCAGATACAGAGAAAATGCTGTCTCTGCTGTGGAGGAGTCAGTCTGCATTCTCTGATCTGAAGTGTTTGGAAAATGGAATTCTCTTCTCTCTAGAGTAGTTTAGGAATGGTCTTGCCTGACAGTATCAGGATATTAGACTGTAACTCCTTTTCTTTTTTAAAAATATATTTTTATTGATTTCCTAGAGGAAGGGAGAGGGAGAGAGAGATAGAAAGATCACTGATGAGAGGATCATTGATCGGCTCTCTACTGCACGCCCCGCACTGTAGATCAAGCCTGAAGCCCGGGCGTGTGCCCTGACCGGGAATTGAACCATGACCTCTTGGTTCATAGGTCAACACTCAACCACTGAGTCATGCCGGCTGTGCTAGAACTCCTTTTCTACGCGAGTCAGGCCATAGGTAGCTTAGGGAGATACCAGTTAAGGATTCAACACAATCCCCACCCAAACAGATGCTGTAGTTCATTCAAGATACAAACAGTCAACTGCTCCTTGACGTGCTCAGTGCTGCATTTGCTGCTGGAGAATCAGGCGGAAACTTACCGTCTGGAGGGAGAGACCAATAGGCACAGTGATGCTACTACAGTGTAAAGCAAGCATGGAAAAGCCACGCCATGGATGATGGCAGGTGGATGGAGGACAAGGAGAGGGTGGGAAGGCAGCCTAGACCGGGGCTGCCCACAACGATGCATAGTTTATAACAAGGGACTAAATTAGGTGCAGTAGACCACGTCCAGATTAAAAGTCTGGATGACTTAGCTATTGATTTTCCTCATCCTCTTCTCTATAATATACCCATGATGTTGTGATTCCCTCTCAGACGTAGGCACTCGATTAGAAGTATGCTCTCTGAGGACGTGCTCGTGCCTTGTGTCTTGGGACATTGTCCCCCTCACAGCCTGTGCCTGCCATGGAACAAGGACTCGAGAATGCCTGGGTGGAGCCCACACGTGAATTCTGCTTGTCCTCTGTGGGCCGTCCGTCTATCCTCCCATGTCTACACCAGTGATGTCAGATCCAAAGCTTCAGCCTGTGTCTGTCCTGAACTCCACTCCTGGATACATTTCTTTTCCCTGGACTGTGATGTTACATCTGCATTAGGATCATCATTTTTATGGCTATTTAAATGCTGTTCACAGCCAAGCTATGTAATATATACATAATTAATTTCCCTTTCTTGCACAGCCTTTTGTTTTCCCTGAAACCGTTATGGGTTTTTTTAATCTATGATTTTTATGTGTTTTTAATAATGACAGTCTATCTTTGCTCAGAAATATCAGATACCTTGTTAGTTTCACCTTCTGGAAGGAATTCCTTCTGGAACCTGCCATCAGGACTGGCTGCCCCCATGTCTGCATAACTGACCCCTTCCTCGCTTTACGGTCACCTGGGGAACCCCTCTGCCTGTCTTTTGTATGGGGTCCCGCCTCTTGTATCACATGACTTTGCCTTTCTTTGTTGTCCCCTCATGTTGGCTGTTTACTTCTTCTAGTAGCTTCCTGAAAAAAAGGAGTGTGAGAGGCAAATTGTTTCAGACCTTGTGTATTTGAAAATGTTTCTTTTTGCAGGTTTATGCCTTTCAAGAATTCCATTTTGAGGAGGTGGTAGTGAGTCTTTTGGAGTAAAAAGTGAAAGTTAGCAGATGTGGTTATTTACCATCTTAGCCCTGAAACAGTAATTGTCTTTCTCTAACTGACCATCTTTCCAACTGGGGAGTAAGCTTCCGGAGGGCAGGCCTGTGTCTGTTCTCAGCACTTGACCAGGGTCTGGCTTTGTGATCAGAACATACATCTTCAACTGAAAAGCCTTGATTGCAGTTGGGGTATCTGAGATGCTAGACTGAATTTTCTCCAGCTACTGGAACCCCGAAACTACTGGGAAAACCTATTTTGTTCTTTGTTTAATTTGAATTTGTTAATTGGACATAGAGTCTGTTGTTACTTATCTGGCAGGCCCTCCATATCCAGTGATGCAGAGCAGACAGCTTCTGCCCTCAGTGTTTACCGACACTTAACAAAGTGTTCATTATTCTTATCCTTGCAGGAGATTAGAAGATGGGGCTCAGAAACTATTTATTAGTTTAGAGACATATCTTAAAATCTGTTGAAACAAGCTATTGTATTGTACTGTTGGCTGAGCTCACGGGTCTGCCTTTATCTTACAGGTGGTCACCATGGGCCTTTTCCGCATGATCTCTTTGTTTTACCTTGGAAGTTTTGACAACATAATTCGTCGCTGCATGATAGAAAGAGCCAAATATGGAACTGCAGACAAAACTGCCTAAACCTTGGAAAAGGAATATTTCTAAAGAATGTGAGCAGCTTGCTGCTGGATGGGACCCAGTGTTTGGCCCATGGACACTTGTGTATGGCTTTTGAATATGTCAGATGGGACCAGCCGACTTCGGCAACCTGACTGCAAGCGAGGGGGTAGAGGTTCAACTCCATGTGATATGATTAAGACTGTGCAGACCTGGGATTGGAGAGCATCTGATTCCCTGGGTGGAGAGGTGATGACCATATGGGAAGTAATAGTTGTGAGCTGGGTGGAGAACAGGATTCCAGAGGTGGCCATTTACATTTTCTCTAGTTATTCTTTTCTCTCCCATGGAGATTGAGTCCAGGAATGCACTTCATGACATGTAAGATGCTGTGAGGACTTTTTAAACCTTCATGAAAGTAAAGTCATGGGTTTCTGGGGCCTTTTTTTTTTTTTCCTCTTTAATTTAGTGTATTTTATTCAAGATGAGTTTTACACGTTGCTGGTGAGTCTGGGTGCATAATCATGTCCCCGGCTCACCACACTGCTTGCTGGTGGACCCTCGTGGATTCTCTCACTCTTTGATCCTGTAAAACTCCAAGGGGGATGAGAGAGGGCAGGGAAGGGAAGAGAAGGGAAGGGGGTAGGCATTTTCCAATAGGAAAAATAATGCTTTCTTGTCTTCTTTAGATTCAGATGCTTTGGGCGCTTCTCATTTTTCACTCATGGGGAAAGGCAGCTTCCTAAAATGTTTTTTGAAGAGAAATAAAATCTTAGAAGCTTAAATGTTTACAATTTTTTTCACTAGCCATGATGAGTGAAGTTTCATTCCATTGTAGTTTATCCTGCTCATCTCTTCCTTTCCAGTTTTGCTTATACTCCTCTAATATTTTTGTAAGAAAAAAAAAACCTGTTAAAATTTTTTGACTTGACTTTTTGAATTCATTCATGAATTAAAACAAAGAGAAAAACAATGTGTGACATTTGTCTTGTAGTATATATGTAGCTTTTAGGAAAGGCTGGTGATAGCATATTTAAATTTCACTCATTAAGAAAAAAAAAAGTTAGACAACTTGATTTGAAGATACTTGTTTTTGAAATAAAATGTCCACCCCATTCTTTCTGGGACCAGCACCGACCCTGAGGACATTCTCTTGGAAGGACATGTTCAGGATGCGCCGTCACCACTCGCATGGTTCAGCTCTGGAAACTCCTGCCCTGTGAATGCTGTTTCCAGACCACAGGTGTGTTGTTCATTCAGTGGATGTCCACAGTAAGTGCCTATGAGGAGTCTTAGCCAGCGGGACCTTCTTCATCCTGTCATTATGCTCCTGTGATGAAGGACAGTCACCATCGTGTTGTGACACCCGCTCCTCGCACAGTCAGTATGTGTGTTCAGAGCACATTCCAGCTCACTTGGGTGAGAACAGACCACTGCTTTTGATGGGGAAAGCATTTTCATTATTAAAAAAAACAACACAAAAACTCTGCAAAAGATTAAAGACCTAAAAATAATAGCAAAGCCTTTTTTTTTTTTGGCTCTTAAGATTTTGAACCTCTTGACTTGATTTTTTAAAAGTAAGATGTTTTCCTGGCCAGAGTGGCTCAGTTGGTTGGGCGTTGGCCTGCCTTGTGCACCAAAAAGTTGCTGGTTCGATTCTCAGTCAGGGCACATGCCTGGGTTGTGGGTTTGATTTCTTTCCTCTCTCCAAACATGTCCTCAGGTGAGGATTTTTTAAAAAAGTAACATGTTTAATGGCTCTAAATCATGGGGTCTTATTAATCAAGATGTGAGAAGGCAAAGGAATTACTATTTAATGGATACTATCAAAGACAAAAGGAATTACTATTTAATGGATACGTTGCTTGGGATGATGTCAGTGCAGTTGATGGGGGTTGGTTGACCCCGTGGGGTCGGGAATCTTCCAGTCTTAAGTAGCCATCGTCTGCAAACTGGAGTCATATTGTGCAGACTCTGAAATGGAGTAAGAGCTGGATTTTCCTAATGTGAAGAAAACAGTTATATTCGAATCTGCATTTTTCTCAATTTTCTTCTTTTCCCCTAAATGTTCCTCACATGTTGGCACCTTCTGTTGGTCTATGTGGAAATCTAGCCCAAGATGGTACCTCATTTAAGAGAAGTAAATAATAGTCATTATTTCAGTATTCATTTCTCAAGGTGTCCTCATAGACAGTACTGTGACCGCAGGTGATCCACTGCCTGGACTGCTGTAAGCCCCTGTCTGTGGTGGGAGATGGTGTCCCCACCCAGTGAAGCTCAGGCACAAGAGCAGATGAGAGGAGAGCATGACGCCAGAGACGTCACAGGTCCACAGTCCTTACCCAAAAAGCTTTGAAAATGAATTTGCTTTTCTTATCTTTCTCAGTTTGGTCCCATAATTCATTTGATAGTAAAACCTAATGTGAACCGACCTGAGATTGTTATAATTTTTATTCATACCACTTCATGGATTTTGTTAATTTTGCCTAAAGAATGACCACAGGTTTGATTAAAGGGATTGCCCCAGATTCTGTGCAAATGTTTCGTAACATCCAGCATATGCCCTATTTTACCTGTTCACAATGTGAAGAATTGTGAATTCTGAAACACATATGGCCTGAAGGGATTTGAAAGGACTGTGGACATGTAAGCAGCATCACAGCAAAGGTCTGACTTCACCCAAAACATGAAAATATCACGAAGCAAATTCTATTTTTTTAATCTTTTTGGCTCAATTCTTGGACAACTTTTTTTACACAGCCTTTTTTTAATATATATTTTAAAGGGATCACACTGACTCAGTGCTTTCTATTGTATCTAGAAGTGGGTAAGTCTTACCTGTGGCAGGACTTTAATTATAATTCTGTTGAAATGTTTGTTCTCTCTGACCAGCGGCAGCTCATTATGCAAGTTTCAGTTCTGAAGTGCCTGCCTCTGCTAGGTTGATTGCAGTTTTATTATAATATTTGCGAGTATATGTATTTTAAAATGTTTAACATCATTCAGCCATAGAAATTCTAAAAATGTGTTCAAGGGCCTTTCATAATTGAAAAAGGTATAAAAAATACTCTTTTTTTCAAACTAAGAAAATACTTATTGGTAAATTACTGAGGTAGAAAAAGTAATTCCTCTTAGGAAACAAGTTATAGAGGTAAAAGAAGGGCTCTTGGAGCTTGGGAGTGAGGAAGCTAATGGTAAGGTGCCTGGGTGAGGGGTTGGGGGAGAGAAAGGAAAAGGCATGGGCGCGCTACCCGGAGGGAGAGCACTTTTTTTTTTTTTTTACAAAAACAAAAGTCAAGCGAATTGTTCTTTTCTCTATTTTTAAATTTAATTTTCATAGCTGAAAAGAGAAGAAAACAATGTTAACGATGGCCTCTTAACAGTGATAACTCATGTTGAGTTATAAATCTTTATTTGGTTCTGTTAAACCATATATCAAAGTGAAACTTTGAGAGACTGCTTCCAATATTCAGATGAAAAAAGCATTTTGGTAGCAGTTTTGCTTCAATTCAAGATTCAAAGAATTGTATGTCATTGTTATTCTAGAAGAAGGCGAAACTATAGTAATTTTTTTTTACTGAACTATATCATTAACAGATTTAATTTTATTACATCATATTCTATTTTAATCTTGTCTTACTCACTAGAGGACACTTAGATATTCATACTTTTTGACGTAAGATGCTTTGTATCTTTCTTATTTATTTTAGTGCTTACTAACTCAGCTTTAAAAAGTACCTACTAATTATAACCTTCCATTTTCTAGACTAAATCTCTTTTAGTTCAGTGCAGTCATGGAAGATTTGATATTTTGTAGGGAAGATAATAGCCATTTTACAATAGTCATTTTGCTGTCACAACTCTAAATATGTTTTTTATTTCTCTAGTTTTATTTATAAAATCCTCACCTGAGGATATGTTTTTATTGATTTTGGGCAGGGAGAGAGAGAGAGAGAGAGAAAAACATTGACCAGTTGCTTCCCATACACACCCTGATAGAACCCACTATATGTTAGTGTATGGGATGGTGTTTCTCCAACTGAACCACCTGGCCAGGACTCTAGTGACTCAAGAATGCACAGGGCTATTTTGATATATCCAAGATCTTGTATTTGCTACTTTGGAAATTTTTGCGCAGGAATTGTAACCTAATTTTCATACCTTGTATTTCTGAATCCCAACAAAAAAATGGTGAATTAACTTTGCAGATTTAAAAACTTTGCTATAAATTTGTGTTTTCAAAGAGACACTTAAGCAAAACACAAACCTCTTCCATTAGATTTTCTAACCTTGCATTTTAAACACTTGACAAAGCTTGATTTTGATCATTTTTAGGAGGTGATTTTTCAGAGTTAAGTAGTTGATATAATGAGCTCTTGTTTCAAATATGTTGTGTGTTTGTATAACTCCGATATGGGATATATGAGTAAAACTGTAAGAAATGTGGAATTTAGTCAAATTTCTTAAGTAATTATGTGTTACGTACAAACTACAGGCCTGGTGCACGGAATCATGCACCGGTGGGGTCCCTTGGCCTGGCCTGTGGGGATCTGTGGACCTCCATGCGCTGCAGCCTGGCCTTATCTGCCAGCTCATTGGGCTCCAGCCCACTGTCCTTGCCCACTGGGGGCACAGGGGAAGCGTCCACGAGAGAGACTCACACCACCACAGCTGCGCTCGCCAGCTGTGAACCCGGCATCTGGCGCCCATCTGTCAGCTGAGTGGTGCTTCAGCTGTGGGAGTACACTGACCACCAAGGGTAGCTCCTGCATTGAGCGTCTGTCCCCTGGTGGTCAGTGCACGTCATAGCTACCATCTAGTCATCCAGTCACTTAGGCTTTTATATATACTAGTATAGATAAATTGATTTCCCATACTTTAAACCTTCATATTCCAATAATGAAATATCTCCTAGACTCTGAGGCATAAAATACTGATATGTAAAAGAACATGCCTTCATATTTTCTCAGTCCTTTAGTAGAAAAACTTGGGTCACAATGAGAAGAGATTCCTTGGATATCTTGGTTTGCAAACTTCACTTTCTTTAAATTTGAGCAATTTATGTACATAAATGCATACAGTATCACTTCTATAATTTTTATTTTTGGACCTTTAAAAAGAAGAAAAAAATGTCTTCTGTTCCACTTATAAATCTCAGATTTTATAAATTCCATTTTCTCTCATTCACATATATTTGTTGAGTGGCTACAGTGAGCTCAGTATCCGGGTACAGGAGGATATAACTCTGCACAAACCATGTGTCCCTCCCTCTGCGATGACATTTCTTGCTACTTTCCCTCCTCTCTGAGGGCTTTTACAAGTCTTCTTGGAGAAAGAGGACCACTCTCCGTTCTTGCTTTGGCGTGGGGCTTCTGAAATGTATGCCACAAATACTGAGTACCATGCACTATTTTAGGCTTGGATGGGATGCTCAAAGGAAAAAGGGTCGCTGCTCTCAAATGGTGTATAATCTAGAGGAAAAAATATGCCAGAAATTAACATTGTGGACTGGACATTAGTTATGATTAAGATGTAAATACCTAATGTTGAAAACATAATCAGTACCAGTCACTGTTGTGAGCACTTGACGTTGAACTCATTTGAATCATACTCTAACTTTCTGAGTACTTAGTCCAGGGGTGGGCAACCTTTCTGTGAGTGCGTGCCAAAACCAGCAAAATCTCTGACTCAAAATTCTTCTGCGTGCCAACCCTAATTTTTTGAGAACATGTTACGCCTACTTGATATCTCTTAAGGTATATGTATATGTGTGTCTCTCCTGAGGCTGTGCGCTCGGTCAAAGAGGACGAACTTCCACCCAGAGAGGACCGGTCTTCTGTCAAGGGTATACGAGTAGCTGCGCTCCCCTGCTAGAACCTCCAAAACAAGCTCTCAAGATAACTTGTTATGTAAAATTAAATTATTTATCTAAGATGCACCTATACTGAATTTATCTGAAAAATAAAGTTGATATT